GAACGTATTTTAATATTATAAAACATTCTTTACATGGAACAATAATTTTTTTTATAAAATATTTGATGTATATTGAGTAATTATATAATAAATATGAGACACTTGAAGGTTAAGGGTTCCAGAGAATTGCCCATTTGCTAATGTTTAAATTGTAGTAAAACAGTTAGATGCATAGTTTTGGCACCAGCATTAAATCATAATGTTTAAGCTTAAAATATCTTTTTAAAACATTGAATCCCTCTTATCAACTGACTGTTAAATAAAGTAAGAAATGTTATAGATTGCAATTTAGCTAAAAAGTATTTGCTAATGTTTAAATAATGTTTAAGCTAAAAATATTTTTCTAAAACTTTTTATCCCTCTTATCAACTGACTAATAATTAAAGTAAGCAATGTTATAGATTGCAATTTAGGTAAAAAGTACTTGCTAATGTTTAAATTGTAGTAACAGTTAGGATGCATAGTTTGGGGACCAGCTTCAAATCATAATGTTTAATGTAAAAATTTCTTTCTAAAACATTGAATCCCTCTTATCAACTGACTGTTAAATAAAGTAAGAAATGTTATAGATTGCAATTTAGCTAAAAAGTATTTGCAATGATTAAATTGTAGTAAAACAGTTAGATGCATAGTTTGGGGACCAGCATCAAATCATAATGTTTAAGCCTAAAATATCTTTTTTAAACATTGAATCCTTCTTATCAACTGACTAATAAATAAAGTAAGAAATGTTATAGATTGCAATTTAGCTAAAAAGTATTTGCGAATGTTTAAATTGTTTTAAAAAAATTAGATGTATAGTTTGGGGACCTGCATCAAATCATAATGTTTAAGCTTAAAATATTTTAGATAAACATTTAATTCCTCCTTTCAACTAACTAATAAATAAAGTAAGAAATAATATAGATTGCAATTTAGCTAAAAAGAATTTACTAATGTTTAAATTTTATTTTAAAAGTTAGATGCATATTTTGGGAACCTTGAACAAATCAGAATTTATAAGCAAGAAATATCTTTCTATAACCTTTAATCCCACCTCTCAACTGGCTAATAAATAAAGTAAGAAATGTTATAGATTGCAAATAAGGAAAAAAGTACTTGCTAATGTTTAAATTGTAGTAAAACAGTTAAATGCATAGTTTGGGGACCAGCTTCAAATCATAATGTTCAATCTAAAAATTTCTTTCTAAAACATTGAATCCCTCTTATCAACTGACTGTTAAATAAAGTAAGAAATTTTATAGATTGCAATTTAGCTAAAAAGTATTTGCTAATGTTTAAATTGTAGTAAACCAGTTAGATGCATAGTTTAGGAACCTTGAACAAATCAGAAATTATAAGCAAGAAATATCTTTCTATAACATTTAATCCCACCTCTCAACTAACTAATAAATAAAGTAAGAAATGTTATAGATTGCAATTTAGATAAAAAGTACCTGCTAATGTTTAAATTGTAGTAAAACAGTTACATGCATAGTTTGAGGACCACCATCAAATCATAATGTTTAAGCTAAAAATATCTTTCTAAAACATTGAATCCCTCTTATCAACTGACTAATAAATAAAGTAAGAAATGTTATAGATTGCAATTTAGCTAAAAAGTATTTGTTAATGTTTAAATTGTAGTAAAACAGTCAGAAGCATAGTTTCGGGACCAGCATTAAATCATAATGTTTAAGCTAAAAATATCTTTTTAAAACATTGAATCCCTCTTATCAACTGACTAATAAATAAAGTAAGAAATGTTATAGATTGCAATTTAGCTAAAAAGTACTTGGTAATGTTTAAATTGTAGTAAAACAGTTAGATGCATAGTTTTGGGACCAGCTTCAAATCATAATGTTTAATCTAAAAATTTCTTTCTAAAACATTGAATCCCTCTTATCAACTGACTAATACATAAAGTAAGAAATGTTATAGATTGCAATTTAGCTACAAAGTACTTGCTAATGTTTAAATTGTAGTAAAACAGTTAGATGCATAGTTTGGGGACCAGCATCAAATCATAATGTTTAAGCCTAAAATAACTTTCTTAAACATTGAATCCCTCTTATCAACTGACTAATAAAAAAAGTAAGAAATGTTATAGATTGCAATTTAGCTAAAAATTATTTGCGAATGTTTAAATTGTTTAAAAAAAATTAGATGTGTAGTTTGGGGACCTGCATTAAATCAGAGATTTTAAGCTAAAAATATTCTATATAAACATTTAAAACCTCTTATCAACTAGCTAATAAATAAAGCAAGAAATGTTATAAATTGTAATTCAGGTAAAAAGTACTAGCAAATGCTAATGTTTAAATTGTAGTAAAACAGTTAGATGCATAGTTTGGGGATCAGCATCAAATCATAATGTTTAATCTAAAAATATCTTTCTAAAACATTAAACCCTCTTATCAACTAGCTAATAAATAAAGTAAGAAATGTTATACATTGCAATTGAGGTAAAAAGAACTTGCTAATGTTTAAATTGTAGTAAAACAGTTAGATGCATAGTTTGGGGACCAGCATCAAATCATAATGTTTAAGCTTAAAATATTTTAGATGAACATTTAATTCCTCCTTTCAACTAACTAATAAATAAAGTAAGAAATGTTATAGATTGCAATTTAGCTAAAAAGTATTTACTAATGTTTAAATTTTATTTTAAAAGTTAGATGCATATTTTGGGAACCTTGAACAAATCAGAATTTATAAGCAAGAAATATCTTTCTATAACCTTTAATCCCACCTCTCAACTGGCTAATAAATAAAGTAAGAAATGTTATAGATTGCAATTAAGGAAAAAAGTACTTGCTAATGTTTAAATTGTAGTAAAACAGTTAAATGCATAGTTTGGGGACCAGCTTCAAATCATAATGTTTAATCTAAAAATTTCTTTCTAAAACATTGAATCCCTCTTATCAACTGACTGTTAAATAAAGTAAGAAATTTTATAGATTGCAATTTAGCTAAAAAGTATTTGCTAATGTTTAAATTGTAGTAAACCAGTTAGATGCATAGTTTAGGAACCTTGAACAAATCAGAAATTATAAGCAAGAAATATCTTTCTATAACATTTAATCCCACCTCTCAACTAGCTAATAAATAAAGTAAGAAATGTTATAGATTGTATTTCAGGTAAAAAGTACCTGCTAATGTTTAAATTGTAGTAAAACAGTCAGAAGCATAGTTTGGGGACCAGCATTAAATCATAATGTTTAAGCTAAAAATATCTTTTTAAAACATTGAATCCCTCTTATCAACTGACTAATAAATAAAGTAAGAAATGTTATCGATTGCAATTTAGCTAAAAAGTACCTGCTAATGTTTAAATTGTAGTAAAACAGTCAGAAGCATAGTTTGGGTACCAGCATTAAATCATAATGTTTAAGCTTAAAATATCTTTTAAAAACATTGAATCCCTCTTATCAACTGACTAATAAATAAAGTAAGAAATGTTATCGATTGCAATTTAGCTAAAAGTACTTGCTAATGTTAAAATTGTAGTAAAACAGTTAGAAGCATAGTTTGGGGACCAGCATCAAATCAGAGATTTTAAGCAAAAAATATTTTATATAAACATTTAAAACCTCTTATCAACTAGCTAATAAATAAAGTAAGAAATGTTATAGATTGCAATTAAGCTAAAAAGTATTTGTTAATGTTTAAATTGTAGTAAAAAAAGTTAGATGCATAGTTTGGGGACCTGCATCAAATCAGAGATTTTAAGCTAAAAAAAATTTATATAAACATTTAAAACCTCTTATCAACTCGCTAATAAATAATGTAAGAAATGTTATAGATTGTACTTCAGGTAAAAAGTACCAGTAGATATATAGGGCCGGTTCTGGATACAGATTCCTTTACCGACATTTACCGACATTTGAAATAAAAAAATGGTTCTAATCCATTCTATTCGAGAAACTTCTAAAGAAAAGAAGAGAAGAGCAATTTCTTCTAAAAATTTTTCCAAAAAAAAACTTATTCAAAAAATTTGTAAATTTTTTTAAAACTGAGAAACGAATAAGTATATTTATTATGTATACTTTAACATACTGTTTTATTATATCTTAAGCTTTTACGGTAAGTAGAAAATTTTTTCAAATAAATTGTTTAATTATTTAATAGAAAATTAATCAGCTGTCTATAATAATAAGAATGTGGAAGCATCACCTGTTAATGTTATTAGTAATTATTGCATAGATGATAAAAATAGTCATGTACATTTCAGAGAGGAGTCATCCGAAGTGTAACATGATACATGTCAGCACATTATATTATTCATAAGTGTACATATAAAGGAACATATGTTATTTAGTGTCTTCATCATTCCCCAAGGTAGACAAAGATAGGTATATATATTTATTAAGAAATCTAATTTTAATTTTGCAAACTTATCTATATAAATAAAGAAGGAAGAAATGTATTATTTAAAAGAGACAGCGAATGAAGCTTAAGAGTATAAAATGTGAGAGTTAGCTACCAGTTTCCATAAAGTCTTCGGTAATTGATCTGTACTGAGAAGTTGTAACTGAGTGTTTGCGTTAAAAAATCTAGAAACTGTTGTCAGTGTAAGAAAAAACAGCTTTAAATAATACAGTGTGGTTGATAAGAAAGTGAAGAAAATGGATGGAAAATTAAAGAAATTAAACAGAGCTGCTAGCTTTTTACCTATCAAAAAATTGAGTGAATTAAATCTTAATGAATATTATAATATTACAGATATTAAGCAAACGACAACAAAATTTGGCTTGAAAATTGTGGCTGAAATCAATAGTGAATACGTTGTATTTTTACCACAAAGAATGGTAAAGGTTCTGGAAAGTGATGATGAATCATTGACTCACTTACAACAAGCAGCAGAAAAAGGAGAATTACAATTAAAATTTTTGGGTGGAAAATATAATTACTTTGAATTTGTGTCTAAAGCAGAATAATAAAAATGACATATCTTCCTCGTAATCAACTACTTCTTTCAACCACATATAACTTAAATTCATCGTTTACAAAACAAGTAATTATTGGAGCTGAATTAAAGAGCAATTTATCCATAAAAATTAAGTTAATAAGCAGCCACCCACAAACATCAGTCTCATTCTCAGTACTAGAATGGAAATTTTTTACCACTTTTTATTCAGAAATTGAGGTATTTTTTGATAATAAATCTGAACCTCATGAAATCAACTGTGACACATTCCATCTGAATTTTGTTAGCTATTTAAATCATCGCTTTGTGTTAATTAGAAATTCACAAGAAGAAGAAGAATTAGATTCAATACACTCATTTTCTCTGAAATTTGAAACTTTTAAAGCTTTGAAGCAATTAAATCGCTGTGTGAAAGAAAGTGCAAGGGAAATAACATTTTTACCTTTGCAATATATTAAATTAGGTGTTATTAAAACAATTGAAGAAATTGTGTATCAGCGATTTGAACTACACCAACTGACGGCTTTGGAAAAATTTATTGAGAAAAATTATTTTAAAGTCTTAGAAAAAGTATTATTAAATAGTGGATGTCCATCTCCTGTAAATATAGAAAAGCTATTTTCTGAGATTATGACTTTTCATTCAAAGGAAATTTGTAATGAAGTTTTAATTTACATTCAGAAATATACAAACAAAATATCATGAAAATTAGAATGTAAGTATTTCCTTAGTTTTCTCATTGTGTATAAATTTTCTTAATATATAATATACTTAATTTATATCTGTTATATGTTTCAGAACAATTCTGTCCAGTAGATTTCACAAAATTTATCCAAAAATTGAAGAAAACCAATTATTGTTTCAAGGAAAAATAGATGATAATTGATGCAAAGAAGAATGAAATTAATTAATTGTGCATATGTATTGTATTTAAAATATATTTTATAATTATATCAATGTGTAATTTACAAGAAATGTATCATATGGCAAAATGATAATAATGAAATATAAATAGAAAAAAGATGATGATGTAATAACTTAGAACTATTATATTGAAGGAGAATAAATTTGAACAATAAATATATTTTAATGAAAATTCTTGAATTTATTTATTTCAATAAAAAATTCGTTACATATCCTCATTTATCCAACTATTATGAGAATTATCAAAACCTAACCATTTAACATACATTCGATGACGACGTTTTTTTAATATTTTTTCAATTAAATAAATATCTGGATTTCTAACCTTAGCAATTTCTTCTTCATAAAAATTACCAGCTAAAGGTCTATTTTGATAATCTCTGAGCAAGTATGTGACTGGTGTAGTATTGTTTACCCGATCAATTGTAAAAATTTCTGTTGTCCAGTTGGGTGTGTAACCTTTCTCAAAAATATGTTTAAGTTTACTTATTCTAACTTTATCTTCTTTTTCAAATTTCGGTTTCTTTTTCGAAGTTTTTGCAACGAATGTTTTATATACATTAAATAAAATTGCCTTTTCATTATTTTTGTTTACATCTTTTGGCTTCATTTTAATGGTTTGATGCTTAGTGTTATTGTACGAGAAAAGTAAATCTTGCAAAATGTCTAACCATTTGTAACTGCCTTGTAAACTAAATTGCATCCACATTTTGTTTTTTAAGGTACGATTAAAGCGTTCACAAATCGAAGCTTTTAAATTACTAAATGTAGAATACATATTTATTTTATACTGTTTCATGAGATTTTTAAAATTAATATTGTAGAATTCTTTTCCTTGATCCACATGCAGGTTTTTCGGCACCCGACCTTGGTCCAGCACTGACTTCATTGCAGTTGAAATATCTTCACCAGATTTATTCTTTACAGGAACAGCCCAGGCGAATTTAGAAAAATTATCAATGATCGTTAAGATGTATTTGTAGTTTCTATTTTTCTTTGCATATGTTAGCATATCCACGAGGTCGGCTTGCCAAGTGTCATCGATAGCTCGTATGTCAACTTTTCGCCTAGCATAATTTCTTCTAGCTGGTTTATGTAATTCTCTAACTAGAGCTTGCTTTTCTTCATTCATATTTTACAATCAAAATTTTTTTATTTTATTCAAGTGCACTTAGTCGTTTGTCTAACTGAGTAAGAATCTCTTTATTAAGCGCCAACCACTCTATATTTCTCTCAATACTTATTTTTAGATTCTGTAAATATTTGTTTATAGAATCTTCTAGCTTTGTTATTTTTATATTATTGTTAAGTATATCAGATCTCATTGATCCCAATATCTCATAAAAATCGTTGACTTCAGTGTTCACGATTTTTTTCACAAGGCTCAAGTTAGTTGCATCACCTCCATTTAAAGCTTCTGCAACATTACACAATTTTTTATTTTCAACATTAAAATGTCCTTCTTCTGTAAATTTAAAGCCAACTCCAGGAGGCCCACGAATGGAATTCTCAATTTTTTTAAAAGAACGTCCAAATACGTCGAGAGACATTATTCAACTGATCGGTTTTTAAAGTAATCAAAATTAATAAATAATGTTTGCTTCTCGTAATTCTTCAATGATTGATAAAATTTCGTTTGTGTGGCTTGGATTTCCTGCTGTTTGAGACGCTAATAGTAAACGTAGTCTGTCCACTAATTCATTTGGATCATCCCAATATATATAGTACATTTGATTTTTTTGTTTAGCAAGCATAAACTCAGGTAAAGCACCTCCACGAGAAGAAATTTCTTTTTTATGATCATTGTTTATTGTAGGTGAAAATAATTTGCATATGAATCGTTTAAATTTAAACGATTTACTTTGACGAATGTCACTATTAGCTTTATATTTCTTTTTATGTGCGTTTGTCAAAACAAGTATTTTTTTAAAATTTTCCAGATCTTTAGCATAGATCAAAGATTCATCTGGAATTTTTTTAAAGAGCAGTTCAAGTAATCCTTTACTATTAGAAAACGTTGAATTTGCCACATTTATATAGTTTTCATTAAAACTTATTGGAGAATTACCAAACTTTAATTTGCTATTAGCTAATTTTCGTACACCACATATATTATCTATTTCTTTACTATTTGTATTTAACAATTTAAGATACACTTTTGTTTCGTTATCTAATGATGGTAAAAAAGAAGAATGTGATTCTTCCTCTTCATAATCCACTGATTTGAAGGATTCTTCATTTATATTGTCATCATCACCATTATTATTATCAGTATCATCATAATCATCATAATCATCATCATTATCATCACTATAATCATCACCATCATTTTTATCACTATAAGTCTTAAATTTTTCCAGTTTATCAGTTTTAACATTCTCGTTTTTATTACTATCTTTTTTAAGTATTTGAAAATCACTAACAAGTTTTTCTAAAGGATTAATAATGGGTTTGAAAGTATCACCTAACGTTTGTTCAAAGTTTTCTTTATCTAACTTTAACATCTTATGTTTTCGTCGAATTGCGTCACTGGCTTTTGCCAAATTCAACGCAATATCTTTTTGTTTTTGAATTTGTTCAGTTCTTGAAGATGACATCTTAATTGAACCAAGTATAAACCATAACTAAACTTAGAGGCTCAGTTGAAATCATTTTAAGCTTCAGCAACTTTTATAAAACAATCAAACCCTTTTCTGTATCTACCATGATTAAGGTCACTATCTTTGTCAAGAACAACGAAACCGTATTTGTCACTATTCCAACAAGAAGAACATAATTCTTTAAATTTTGAATATATCATATCTGTATTAACATGATCGTTATATATGTGTTTAAGGTTTAAGTCATCCTGTCTGAAAATTATCAAAAAATTTACATTATCTCGAATTAAATGCTTTGGAATCCGTGTATACGTTTGACATAAATAAAAACAATCAATAAGTCTATGACGACCCATTGAAAAAAATTCTCGAATTCTATTTTGCTTATCGCAGGCTACATCATCAAAGACAATTGTAGAATTTGGTTTTGCTTTGTTTGGTTCAATAACCTCTTCATGCTCTTGAAATGGAAAATATTCAATACCATCCACTAAGTCAAGAGTTTTCTCCAAAAATTTATATTTTGGTTGACTTAATGATTTTGAGAAAATGTAGACATTTTCAAAACGTAGTCCATTTGGATGTATTAGTAGAGCAAGTAAGGCATTTGTTTTGCCACAGTTTGATGGACCACAAAAAATTGCTCTTACCGTATTAGGTAACAGATTTCCATGACGTTTTTTGTTAGATTTTTGTTGTGTTACTGTATCAAAATCTAACACAGGTAATTCTGTTGATTGTTTATTGATCTCCATCTTTTGATTCACACTGAGGTTGAAAAGTATGAATGCAAGACTTTTTTAGATTATTTTGTAGGTCTGTTTATTTATAGAATTTTGTGCAATTCAGAAAGGTTAAATATTTAGAGTAAACTGGTTAAGAAAGTATAAATACACGGCTTTTATACATTTTTACATCAGTCTTAAAAAGATACTTTGTGTAGAAATATAAAAGTATGCTTGTCAAGAAAAAAACTATCAGTTCTAAAAAATCTATCAAACGTGGTAGAGGTCTCTTAAATCAAATTATCAACAAGTTACCTGTTGAATTACACATACCTGGTTATCAATACTGTGGACCTGGAACAAACTTAGCAAAACGATTGGCACGTGGTGATCCTGGAATTAATCCCCTTGATCAAGCTTGTAGAGAACACGATATTGCGTATTCTCAAAATAAAGATAACCTTGAAAATAGACACATTGCAGATAAGATACTCGCGGAAAAAGCTTGGAATCGTGTACGTGCTAGTGACGCAAAACTTGGTGAAAAAGCTGCAGCTTGGGCAGTTACTAACGCAATGAAAATAAAAACTCAATTAGGAATGGGTCTTAAATCGAAAATGAAAAAGAAGAAAAACAAAAAGGCCACATTTCCATTAAGAAATATTGTTTTAGCGGCAAAAAAATTTATCACACCTAGCAATGATACATTTTCTGCTATAAAGTCAGCTCTAAAAGGTGCACGTATAGCTGTGAAAGTAGCAGGTGGAAAATGCAAAGTGAAACAACCTCGAATTTTACCCATACCAAAAAAAATTGGTGGTTTTTTACCATTTCTTATACCACTCTTTGCTAGCCTTAGTGCAATAGGGGCTCTATCTGGTGGAGCAGCAGGAATAGCAAAAGCAGTTAATGATGCAAGAGCAGCTAAAAATCAACTGGAAGAAAGTCAACGTCATAACAGAGCCATGGAATCTCTAGCTGTAGGAAAAGGTCTCTATCTTAAGCCATATAAACAAGGATTAGGATTAACATGTGCTGTTGAAAAAAGGAAAAAAAAAAAGCCCAAAAAATTGTAAAATTACCAAAACGAGCGTTAACTAATTATGATATACTGAAATACGCTAAAATCGTAAAAATTCCACACTTTCGTGGTGTTTTTATGCGTGATGAATTACCAGTTTCAGGACCTTATAAATTTGAGTCAGCTATAGTAAATTTAGATAGTAAATATAATGCTGGTACTCATTGGGTAGCTTATAGAAAGATGAACAATAATATTGTATATTTTGATAGTTTTGGTAATCTTCAACCACCTACGGATCTTGTTAATTATTTCGGTGTTAAAATTATTAAATACAATCACAAAAGTTATCAAAATTTTAATACCTTTGTGTGTGGTCATTTGTGTTTAAAATTTCTTTTAAATAAACTCGAGAATAAAAGTATGTTTACTCTTTAAAAGTAATGACATGGAAACATTGAGTTTAGTATAAATTAAACTAGCAATATGAACGATTCATTAACATTTACCTTGTCAGGTAAATCATCTATATTGGAGACACAATATTTTCCACCAATTGAATTGTTGCCTCAAAAAAATTATGTACTTGGTCTTGTTGAATTTCTTACATTTAATTCAATTCCAAATATAGATATTGGACACAATAAGTTTTATGTTGATCAAGAAGAAATAACTATACCAACTGGTAGCTATGAAATTGGTGATATACAGCGCTATTTACAAAGTGTTTTAAAACCCAAAGGAATTGAAATTTATATTAAACCAAATAACAATACCTTACGTAGTGAGATTTTGTGCAATCGTGAAATTAATTTTCAAAAAAGTGATTCAATAGCTTACTTATTAGGATTTGAACCTCAAATTCTTGAAGCTGATAAACTTGTCCAATCTAATTTACCAGTGTCTATTATAAAAGTTAATGCGTTACGTGTTGAATGTAATATTACAACCGGTGCATATATAAATAATCAAAAGGTTCACACAATTCATGAATTTTTTCCAACTGTTCCACCAGGATATAAAATAGTGGAAGTACCTTCTCATGTCATTTACTTTCCTATCGCAGTCAAGAGCATTGATCAAATTCAATTAAGAATTGTTGATCAAGACGGAAATCTTGTAAATTTTCAAAGTGAAACAATTACCATTAGATTGCATATGAAATCAATATAAATGGGTATTGACTTCAATCGAAGAATAGGTTACGGTTATAAAAAGCCAGAATGTGTAAAAAGAGTCAGTTACGAAACTACGACCAAGAGGCTAACACCTCAAAACATTCAACTATTGAAGAATTTGGGCCTGAAAGTAATCGAGAAGAAACAAAGAAGAAGATAACAAGAGTAAAAGTTGTTTGCATCTGTTTTGTGGTTTTTCTCTTTAAAAAGTGTACTATTTGTCAAAGAAAATGGAAGATGAAGATGTGTTAAATATTGCAAATCCAATTGTCTACAATGAATCTATTGCTCACTATGAGATTCATGCTCATCTACCATATGCCTCAGCAACATTTAATAACAGTGATGAAATAAGAATAGCTGTACAAAATCAGGATCATTGTGTGTTGCCAAGCAAAAGTTTTTTGCATATTCAAGGAAAATTAGTAAAAGAAAACGGATTACCTGTTATACATACTAGATTTGTCAACAATGCCATCTGTCATCTGTTTGAAGAAGCTCGTTATGAACTTAACGCTATCGAAATTGATAAGACTAAAAATGTTGGTCTTACAACTCTCATGAAAAATTACGTTTCAGTCTATGGAGCTCAAAGTAAATTTTTAGAA